AAGTATATATATATATATATATATATATATATATATATATATATATTAAAATAGTCTAAAATTTCTAATAAATGACTTGCTTTTTATTGATACTTATCTAACATAAATAATAAAAATTTTTTTGAGATATGTTACTATATTAATAATATAATAATAAAGCAATAATTAAAATATTAAAAATATTATAATAAAATACAAAAATTATCAGAAATGAATTGTTTTTTTCCTTATATCATCAGTCTCATTGTCCATTTTGAAGTAACTTCCAGTATTTATGATAAAAATTAAAATTCTTAAATTGTAATTCTTGAATTAAATTTTTTAATTCTTTATTTTATTCAAGATATTTTAAAGACAAAATTTTAAATATACATGAAATATACTTGAAATAAACGATTCTGGAGATTAAAATAAATACAAAAATTGTTATATAAAAATTTTAATTTAGATTTATTTATTAAATTATTTTTTTTTAAGAAATTTAAATTTGCATTAGATAAAACAAAACGGATAATGTAACGAAGACAAAACAATCCATTTTATTATTCCATCTTATCGTAAACTTAGATTATTTATAATCTAATAAATAAATCTCAATCAACATTTAAGTATATCAATTCTATAATCTTTGTATTTGCTTTGTATTGGCTTTGATATTGATCCTCCATAAGTGTTTCGATATATATTAATATTCTATATAATATGATTTCAACAATTGAATATTTCCAATTATAATAAAAAGAGGTGAATATATATTTTTATATGAAAAATGTTTTATACTATTAATTATAAGACGTTATTATTAATTAAAAGACAAATATTATTATTATTTTGAATATTAATAATTTGGATTTTGTATTTATTGTTTTGATGTTTCATCTATTTATTTTTATATACGAGAAAAGAAAATATTGTAAGTTTACCGTTGAAATGAATAGAAACAATATTTGAATTCATATTGAAATCTTTTCTGTATTAGAAAATAAATAAGGAAAAGAAATATTGATTATATTGTTATTTTTAATGTAATAAAAAACTGAAAAAAAGAATTAAAAAAATTGAATAATCAATCTTAAATTAATTTTTTACAATGATTTTATAATTCTTTTCTCTAAAAAATTTTTAGTTTAAAAAAAATTTAATTTGATTTAATTTTTCTAGAATTAAAATAATTAATAATAAAAATATGAATAATTAAATTCAATAAATATAAGAAAGTTACATATGTATATGATTAATTATTACTATGCATATTGTTCAATGTCTATATTTGGTATTTGTTATTATTTGGTATTAAAAATGTTTTATCTTTATTATATGCTTACGTAAAATATGCATCACAAAAAATTGACTTACGTAATTTTAATATTATAATTATGCGTAACATATGGTATCGATTTCCTTAAAAATCATTATTTTTTGAATTCGTAATAATTAAAACTGGATTGCATCAGCTGAAAATGTACAAGAATGTAATCTATAGCTACCGGTATGACCTTTAATTGAATCGCAAAGCAGAAAAGCGAGAACCATGGCGGCGGTCTTGTTGGCGAGATTGTACTTTCGCTGTGTGGTACGCTTTTCTGACCGAGAGTACAAAGGTTGAAGGAATAATACTGTGGAAATTGAAACAGGAAAAAAAATGGTACGTAATATATTGAAAACAATGACTGTCCTTTCATTGTTACCGTGTAAGAAGTTATGTATATCAATATAACCTCAATGGACCAGAAAAATAAAACGTCATTTTCAGAAACTTTTTTAAAAAGTAATTGATATAATTAATTTACTCTTATTTTTATTATTAAAATATTATTTATATTTATAATTGGATATAATTCATATTAATTATTAATTCGTTAAACCAATAGAGTCACTCCAGTGAATCCAGTGAATCAGATGATGGTGGAGACGATCAAGAAGGATCTTCTTTTTCGGAAACAAACATTGAGGATGCTCTAACATCTTTCAGAGAACAATGGCAACGTGAATTAGAAATATCGCCAAAACGGGATCGACCAAAAACTCAATCCACAAAAGCAGTTAAAGTTGATGTTTCTAATGATGAAGAATCTATTGAAAGCAAGGTATAATAGATGTTGAAAAATATTGATGTATGTATATATAACATAAATAAATATTTCAGGCAAAAAATTTATTTTTGAAAGGAATTGAATATGAGGAAAGAAGAAAGTTCTACGAAGCAATTCAGTTCTATAAACGTGCTGTGTTATTAGTTCCTGATATTGAATTTCGTTTATATGAATCAACTAAAGTAAAAACGAATGATGATAAAAACGAAGGATTTGATAATGACATAAATAATATTGATGATAATGTTGAAAACCATAATGAAGAAGATGAAGAAGAAAGTGATTTATATGTTAAATTATGCAAAATCATAAATCAAAATAAATGTGTTTGTTTTCCTAAATTTGAGCAAACTGTAAGTATTTTCTATACAAAATTATGTAATAATTTTTAAAAGTATTTTAATGCACATTTAAATATGATATTGTTGTTGTCGAATATCATGGTAAATATTTCAGGGCATTCCTTATTTCAGACAACACATATTTCTGCCTTGCCTATGGAAATAGTATTATATATTCTAAGATGGGTTGTATCCTCAGAACTTGACTTAAGATCTCTTGAAATGTTCTCCAGAGTATGTCGTGGATTTTACATATCTGCAAGAGATACAGAAATCTGGAGACTTGCTTGTGTTAGGTAGGTCATCTCAGATATCTCTTATAAAAATCTTAATAATCAAATTATTATGCGGCGATCAAATTGCATAGAGTATGGGGTGTAAATTGTGGAACTTATGCTCCAAAATATCAATCATGGAGAGACATGTATTTGCAACGGCCTAGACTGAGATATAATGGATGTTATATTAGTAAAACCAGTTACATTCGTGATGGTGAAAATAGTTTCCAAGATCGATTTTATAGACCTTGGCATCTGGTGGAATACTTCAGGTACCTGAGGTATGTAATAATATAATTTGATAAAATATTTATTATAAAAAATGTAGATTCTTACATTATTTCTTTGATAAATAGATTTTTTCCCGAAGGAAGAGTTTTGATGCTAACTTCAACTGATGAAGCCCAAAGTTGTGTAAATTCTTTAAAATATCGCACTCCGCGCAATTCATCGGTTCTTATTGGTCATTATAGATTACATGATAATTGCGTCATTCTAATGCTCAAAAAACAAGAAATAAAAGGAGTTAGTACATATAGAAAAAAGAAAAAAGAAACTATGCATGATAGTGGGGAACAAACATTTCATATTGTAAATTTTAACTTATATTATATTAAAATAATTACTTTTAATTATAATAATAAAATTTAATAAAATTATTATTGTTTATAGGAATTTGAAATTCAGGATCACCATAGACGGTTAAATTCGCAATTGAAATGGTTAAGTTATACAATATTTACAAAGTATAGAAATGGCCATGAAGCGAAAATGTGTTTAAAGGAACCGTCTGTAAGAGAATGGAGAGTATCAGCTATTGGCGGGCGATATCCGTCACTTAAATTTAGCAGAGTTAAAAGTTATACTCAAGAAAGTGAAGCTCCTTTACAGTAATTGTAATTAAATATAAATTTGGTGGTTTTGATCATGTAAAAATACATAATGAAATGAAAATTTAAGAGAAGACTATATTCTTCAAGCAAAACGTTAAAACTTGTACAAATACACTCTTGATGTACATTGCAAATACGCACGTTAATGTTACATTCTTCTGCTTATAAAAATGTATTCTAAATATGTCGCAATGACAAATTTTATTCTTAAGTCATTATCGAAATATTTCTTAGATAATTTTTATTAATCTAATATCTAATTCTCGCGTTACAGTTTTCTCTTAAATTTTATCATTTATATTATTTTTCACATAGATAATGTGTGAATAATTCATAGATTTAATATATTGTTTATCATGCACTTATATATGGTGCCTTATGTGCTTTTAACATAGGTGCTTTTATTTCAAAATATATTATTTTTGTTTTCTATTTATTTATTATTTATCAAATTTTCAATAGAAATAAGATAAAAAATAAACAATTTCAACGCAATAAGTATATTAGTTTTGATCAAACTTTATAAAGGATATAAAATTTCTTTATAAAGATATGCAATTTATCTCAATGGCCAGATCCGCAAGGATGCATTTATATAAAAAAATATATTTGTCTAACATTTATATTATCTATTAATAATTTTTTCATTTAAATAAAATATTTTTTTTAAATATTCTTGCGGTTCTGTTCTTTCTTAATTTTATGTAAAATAAATTTGTCATAACATATACGTTTAATCAAATATATCGAAGAAATGATTCAATCAAATTTATTTTCTAATGTAAAATTTATCGATTGTGGATAACAGATCAACTTATGCACCTGTGTGTGTAATTTCAAATGTAAATGAATTTATCGAACACTCCTATACCTTGATTCCTTTATATATATAGGCGATGAATTTACGTATGAATACTTGATATTACGATTACGTATGAAAACCCCTATGGAATTAAATGAATTCTAATCATATTTTGGAACAGTTTTATTCGTTTTTACGAATGGTATTGATATTGTAAAATGATGTGTATTCAAATCAAAGAAACGAATGTCTGGGAACACATCTTGTAAATTATTGTGGATCTTTAAGTCTTATAATCAATAATAAACGTATTTTTGATGTGCTTATTCTAGTTTATTCTATTTGAAGAATGATATTCTTTTGCATTTTAGAATGGAATTCGAATTAACATTTAAATTAAAGTGGATATTATTTATTTATGATATTCTCTGTGATATGACAAGTTAAATTTTGTACTTGTACTTGTACTTCTATTATTTCACGTACAGTGAATATTGCTTACTTCTTATTATCATTAAATTTTGGTATGTATATATATGCATATTTTTTCATTTCTATTACTAATTAAAAAGATATATATTTTATGGTCACGAAGTATTTTTGTCGTTTAAACAAAGTAACCGGTTGGCATAGGCTCGTTTTATCACAGACTTCATTAAAATATGTTTACACATGTCATTTCATCACAGTTCATCATGCTTTAATTGAACGAAGATCGTTTCATTGCACGCAGACGAGTTGATTATCCAAGTGAGATCTTGCAAAGTTGCAGCATGCATCGAACAAACCGCCAAGACAACCAGCACATGCATTAAATTATGAGAATTCAATATCAGGTCCAGTTTGCCTGGTATCCATTTTTCAGGAATACGCATGGCACCTATAGTAGCTCCCACAATCGCTATAAGGTCCTGAAAAAAAATATACATATACGATCAATATCAATATTTTGAAAATTTTTTTGATATTTTTTTTAATCATTTATAATATATATCATATTTTATATCACTTATATATCGTATTTCTTAAAATCTTATTTTATATGTACTTTTTATTATATTTTGTTGCTATGTTACTATATTGAACCAAATAATTTATTATAATTATTGATTCTTTTTACTCTTTTCAAAGAGTAAAAAATATATAAAAATTTTATATAAACATAAAAATAGTAATTAATAATACTATAGAATTATATTTGAATTTTATTATGTATAATTTTATAATAGAATTATATAATAGAAGAATTAATTATTAATATTTCTTTTTTACATAAATTATTAATAAATAATAATTGTGGTTATTATAAATAATATATAAATATATAATAATAATGTAATACATTATACTATTATAATATATATTGATATATATTGATATATATAATGGCAATAAAATTTTCTAAAAAAATATACATATGAATAAATATCAATAATATACCTATAATTAAAAGAATAAAAATTTTAATCTTTTATTTTACTATTTTACTATTAATTTTAATCTTATACATTATCTTATATATGTCCCCAATATAATTTTATATATTATTAATTATTATTTTATTATTATTAATGTATTATTAATATAATACTATTTTATGTACTTTATATATTTTATTTAGTAAGTATTAGTAAGTATAAGTACTTATACTTTCTTATATACTATTACTTGCTATAAAAATAATAATTAAATCTTTTATCTTTCTAATTATACATAAATGATGAATATTTATTCAAATGTATTTTTTTAAAAAATTAAAAACAAAATAAAATAAAAAATAAACATGAATTATTAAGGATTAAAGATTAAATATTCATTATATATATATTTACCTGTAGCACAATATGAAGTAAAGCATCTGGAGAACCACCGCCAATACCGAAACATCGTAGAATCAGTACTAACATTCTCATGAGAAAAGGAGGTGCAAAACATAATCTTCTCTCCCACGGTGACTGTGCATTCATTGCCTATATGAAATATTTATAATATTTAAGATTGAAGGTAAGAATTGGAAATTTAGGAAAGAATATAATATAATATACCTTGAGAAGTCCCCATATACTCAGGGAACAGTAGATAAACATACAGCTATACCAATAACTATCGCATAAACAATGGACTGTTGCTGCTATCATAGGTATTGCTCCTAAAATTTAAAATGAAATTTTGTTAAAATTATTAATCATCTAATCAGATAATTGCAGTAATGCAACAATAATTTAAATAAATACCAAAACTTTGGCACAGCCATATACCGATCATATCTAATTTCAATAGCGATCTGTAGAAGATTTCATCGTAGTTTAAATTCATAAAAAGATGATAAATGAATGATCCAATCCAAGGACTTACAGCACCGATTAAATGGCACCAAGATAAGATTGCTAGGAAGATACCTTTGGTATTCCATGGAAGAAGTTGAGGAATAGTCAATAACATATATAAAATGGCAAATCCTAAAACATGATTCTTTGTATTAAAAATCAAGTATGCATATTATATAATTATTTAATTTATTATTAATCAAATTTGCTCTAATTTGGACTAAAATAATTAATCATTTATTCACTATATTATATAAATTATTCATTATAAAAATGATTCAAGTTTATTTTTGGAAGAAAAATTAAGAAAATGAATAATTTATATATATAATATGAATTTTTTATAAGTATGAATAAGTTTGAATTTTTTACTTATAGATAATACATAATTTATATTTTAAAATATCCATATATTTAGATAAATTAATAATTCATTAATAAATGATGTTATATAATCATTTATTTTTAAAGTGATGCAAATTCTTTAGGAATGCATGTACTATTCTTTAAAGACAAAAAGAAAGTAAAATTGTAAAATATAGAAAAGAAAATTTAATATCTTTATATAGATAAAATATAATTAAATTTATAACAATATGTTAATAAATAAATATTAAGATCAAGCAATAATAGTTTTTCTTATTTATAAATAAAATCAAATATATAATTAATTTTCAATATAATTCAAAATTAAAATTTATAATAAATTTAATATATTTTATTAATATTTTTGAATTAATGGCAATAAATATTCTTAAATACACACACACACACATATATATATATGTAATTAACACAATATTTAATTATACACAATATTCATTTATAGAATTTTGTCTTTGTTAATTATTTCATATAACATAAAAATGTCTTTGTTAATTATCAATAAGAAATATTTTTAATTAGTTGATTAAATAATAAATATGAAATGCTTGTATAAATATCATGTTTATCTTTATAATTTCTTTTGTACTATTGTATTATAATTTTTTCAATTATTAATAAATTCTTTATGATTGATATAATTGACACAACGTGTCATTTTTAAAATAAAAATTTTCATAAATTAAAAATTATATAAATTATTCGTAATTTTCATGTATTATTATCATTCATTATTATATTATATTCGTCATTATATATATTATTAAAAAATCAATTAAATCGTTAAAAATTCATGAATACTGAACATAAATAAGTACTTATGTTAATTTTTTATATTTGAATATAAAATTATTCTTTGAATATTTTATTTTCTTTTTTTTTTTTAACATTTTTTGATAACATTAATTATTTCTTTGAATAATTTTTAAATTGATGTTATCAACGTCATGCGTGTGTAATAATAATAGATTTCAGAAGAATAACATATGGCTTCGTTAATCGATTTTTCGCTATCTCACAATACGTCAATAGAAATATAATGATTTCTCATATAAATTGACCTTGAAAAGCTTAAGGTTAATCCAATTTTCTACTTTATTGAATAACGGAATACAACTTTTCCTTTCTTCTTACCTTTGAACATTTTAAAGTGATTATATATAGAAAATCGATATGATGAACAATAGCTGTTTTTATATTTAGCTGATATTTTTATTAAAACATTACGTAAAAGCATATATTGACTATTATTGAACTTTCACTGTAACGTTTATGTATCAAATCAATTCCTAAAACTATGAGAAATAAAAGATTTAAATATTTCTTCATATATAAATATCATAAGTATATTAGTCCATAAATCAAAATTATATTAGAATATGGAAAAATATATAAAATATCTAAAGTAAAATATTCATAACAATATTTAAAGAATGAAATAAATCTTTTTCAATTATATTCATAATATGAACTCGCTATAAATATTCTTAAACATATCATTTAATCTTAAATTAATAATTAAATAAATATCTTCCAATCAAGTCACAAACAAATTTAACAATTAATCCAATAACAGAATCAAAATATAATATGTATACTATATATAGAGAGATTTTTTTGTGATATAACTGAAAAAGGAATAATTAATTTTTCATGAATTTTTCATAAGTAAATCAAAAAAAAATTTTTTCTTCATTTGAAGCTTTTTGAGTAAATTGAATAAAAAATTTTTAAATGATTAAGTAAAAATAATTTATTAATTCTCGATTAAGTAGGGAATAATATGAAAATAAGCAAAAAATATAAAATAAATTTTTTTTATTTAAGAATTCGTTTTTAATAACATTGAATTTGAAAATTCATAGATTATATGATTTCTTGATTATACAATGTTCTTGATTTTTTCAAAAATAAAAACTTAGACGATAAAGTTCTATTTTTTGTTTACTTTCACATATAGAATAATGATCTATTAATAATTCATTTGTAATTCATTTCCTATTTAGAAATTAGTTAATTTCATTTGTAAATTTGAAATATTTTGAAACTTGATTTATTCACAAACGAAACTTCAAATGAAAAAAATATTATTGTTCTTTTTGACTTATTTTTTCATAGGAATTAATTCAGTTGTATCGTGAATAATAGAATGTTCTCTCATCATAATTAATACATTCAACAATCAAATATAAGCTACAATAAAACGTCGATTATAATCGATCAGAAATTTCATCAAATTTGTAAATATGCTAAGAAATAATTAAATATTAAATAAAGCAATTAAAATTAAAACAATTTTCAAATATAGATATTTATTAGATATTTATTATCAGATTAAAAGAATATATCAGATTGTTTCAAATGAAATAATCTTTATATAATGAAATAATCAAATTTTTATAAGTTAAAATAATAAAATAAAATAGCTTTTAGCTTATCGAAAATCATATTAATCAAAATTTTACTCAACAAATTCATATATGTTACCTATCGAAAAAGTAAAATTATTATAATTAATTGCTTTTTATTAATAATTTTTTCATTTCTTTTATATTTATCAATTTTAATTTTTTACATATATAAAAGATTATCTCTTTAAATGTAACATTTTTTTGAAAATTCTATTAACATTAAGAAAAATTTTTTATATGTTATATTGAATTGTAATTTTTTTATTTTAAATTTACATATACAAAAACATATGAATTTGATATCGAAACATAGTTCAATTACAATTTACTTTTTTATAATTAACCAACAATTAATAAAATAATACTCAAATTGTATTTATCTAACTTTAAGCTTTTTTAAATTGATATGTTATTTAATGATACAATTAATGTGATACATTTTATATATATTTAGTCACTTATTTTTTAATTGGCCATTTATGATAATCTAATATATTTATGTATGCTTAATAAGATATATATGGTATCAGAATATGAACACTAGTATCAATCTATAATTCGGATAATTCATTACATGAATAACAAAATTTCGAATAATCGGCGTTTTATCGTATCTATGTATCTAATATCTCAAAGAACCATATCTATCCCTTTATAAATAATATTCTCTTTGTAAACAATGTTCTCAGAACTCACCATGTGTCAAGATATTGACAGTTTCATTGTGGATGTAAAACAAACTGCCGAGACACTGGGCCACGGTCATGAGGGGTCTATATCCAGTGCGGATGTGAGGATTGAACTGCAAATGCTGCGGCATGTCGCTCCATCTTCGCAACAAACGGATGCCCGATTCTGGTCGCAATGATTTTTCGTACATATTCCCCCGATCACCCTCGCGATCGAGTTTTTTACCGTTGTTCTGGCGCGGAGGATCGGCTGCCTCCGCATGATGCTCGTCGTCTCGAAGCGACGTCGTGCAGGCGGAATGCTGGTGAGGAATGACGAAGCACACGGATGCACGCACACGCGGGAGAAAGTGCAAAAGATGTGTTCTTTGGCGACGGCGGTGTCGTTACTGCATCAGTTTTGTACTCGATGCTCTTCGTCCACCACCATCCGCGACTCCGACCTCTCTGACGGCGCCGTTACCACGGAAACCGCATCGATCCTTCTCATCGCCGAGAGAACGCGCTCCTCGAATACACGCAATCAGTTCTCGTGGACTTGGCTCGTTGATTTGGCTGGTAGAAATGCTCTCCAGAGGCGCAATCGATACGATCGTTCAATTTGCAGGATGACACTGATTTTAGAATTTATTTAGATTTGTATCGTGGAAGGATAAATTGTAATGGTTATTTTTGAGAACTGTGTAGAATTGGATTTAAATCAAAGATGGATCAAAAGTTTAGATTATTGCGAAGATTGAATTCGAAATTTTATGAAGTCTCGAAGCTTTTTTTTTGAAATCTATAATGCTTTATTTTTTTTTTTTTTATCTAAAGAATATTTATTTTATCGAAATTCTTAAGAAATTCTGATTTTCGAATTTGATAAAATTAAATTTATGTGCTTTATTTTATTGTTTCTTTATATTAACGATTGCGATGGATTGTATCAATCAAAGTGTAAACAAAAATTTAATTATTATTAATTACAAAAATAATTTTGTATTGTCATAGTCACAATCATATTCATATTCTTTCTTCTTATATGTGAATTATTTTTTATTTGAGTTTTGAAAATTTTGAATCGCAAAAGTTCGAAAATCCGAAATTTTTTAAGTTTTAAATTTCCATATTCCATTTGAAGATCATTTATTAGAATTTAAATTAGTATATAATTAATATATTATATTAGTGTTAATTTAATTCGTTTTTTATATAATTTTTATAGTTGAATTCTATTTTTTATAATTTAATGATTATGAAAGATATAATATTTATTTAATATTTATATTTTTCATCATTATTTCTTTTCCTATTTAGATTCAATAATTTCAGAGTCAAAGTTGAATTTATTGTATAATGTAGTGAATATTACATTAGTGATAAAAAATAATATTAATTTTATGAGAGCAGAGAATAGTAATAATATATTCATATATGTATATCGAGTTTTCAAACTTTGTATAAATATTGTAAATCTTACACAATTTAAAAAATTCTTTTTATTTTTCGAGAATTTATATATAACAATAATTTTATGATTTATAGATGATGTTATCTTTTAGTTTAACCAAATAAAAAAATAATTTTATTTTATTTACTTTTGAATGATATTTATTTTTAATTAAAAATTCAATTAAATTTTATAAAAAAATGTTATATTTATTTCAAAAATATAAAAAATATTTTCTTTAAAATTGCATCTTCTTTATATTACATTTTAACTATTGAAAACATTATTTTATTTTATCTTATCTTTTAATTAATATAACTATTTTATCAAACTATTTACTTAATTGATTTCTAAGTTCAGAAAAATAGAATTCTTTGTTAACATAAAATTTAATTTTCAATAAAATGGATTATTATAAACAATGGTGTATAAGATATTTGAAATTTTATACTTTACCAAGAAGAAAAATTATACATAATTCTTTCGTTAACTTTTTTTTTTATTAGAATATTTATTATTTCTAATATTATTATTTCTAATGCTTTTTATATCCTAATGAAAAAAATGAATCAAAATTAATGTTAAAGCTACTAACTTAATATACATGTATAAAATTAACATAATATTATGAAAATCAATCTGAATAAAAGTTAGTATTAATTTTGTGAAAAGTATCCGTACGTTTCATATATGATTGAAAACAAATACAAAAAATCTGTAGCCAATCGATTTGTTTGATAATTCTAGTATTCATATACATTTTTCAATAATGCCGCGTTTAAATATTATTTCATTACTTGGTTTTTAATAGGATAATTGAACTTCTGCCAATCAATTCCATTTGTCAGATTGTAAACTGCTATTATTTAAACGATAAATCGTAAGTGATGAAAAGAACTATTAAACTTTTATTATGTTAGCAATAGTTATACGAATTGTTTCCGATAAATGGAGTTTTATTGTAGTATGATAGCTTACCGGAAGTTGTTTTGTCAACTTCCTCAGTTTGAAGTCAGTTGAAGAAATTTTCTAATAGTGAATTTTTTCCTTCTCAATTGAATAAATTTTCGAAATGATGCTTATTTTTTTATTGATCTTGAGCTAAAAAATGTATGAAATTAATATTTTCTTATTCGAGGTTTTTAATTATATACTGATAACTTTTATTTATTTCATAATAAAAATAAAGTTTATATAATCATATTATAATAGTCATGTCAAAATAGAAAAATTTTTATTGAACTGACTGATGTGAAATTTTAATTATTTCATAATAAAGATTTTTTCTTTTTGTAATTTTTTCATAAATTAATAATAATATTTTTTTGATATAACATTTTGATTAATTAATAAATCTTAAACGTTAACATTTCTCTTCTTGAAAGTTCTCATTTATATATCACTAAGCAGTTTGTATTATTACAGTTTGTATTATTAATTAAAAAATATTTTTAATATGTTAAAATAATAAATTAAAAATTTTCCTATTATTATATTTCTAATATCTTCAGCTAAAAATCTTTTTTAATTTACTATTTTCGAGATCAAATAATTTTACTTGAAGAATAGAGAATATGTTTGTTTGAAAATAAAATATTCTTTTTTAAGTAAAATATGGTATAAGAAAAATCTATTTTGAAAATTTTCTTTTAGTTTACTTTTATAAGAAGAATTGCAAATTGTACACTTTGAATTTTTAAAAAGTTTTTCACATAGTATTTCATTGAATTCTTTCATTTGTATATTTTGTGTTGTGTTTAATTTCGTTTTATATTCACTTGATAATTTAATTCTGACTAGGTTATTTAGGAAAATTTTTTTTATTTATTTATTTTTTCATTATTTTATTTATAAATTCACTAACCTTTTATTCGATCCATTTTGTGATTTTTTAATATAAAAATCAAAATTTACTTTTTATTTACTTTTTACTTCAATAGAAACTGAAGGAATAGTTGTTGGAATACGTTGCATGATTCTATTAATATATATATATATATATATTAATAGAATTATATATATATGAGATTAGTGCATATTATTAAATATAATATATTGTTTCTTCAAATTTTTTTTTGAAATATTATATATTTAATTATGAAATAAATTCTATAATTTTGAATAAAATAATGAATGAATAAAATTCTTACTTATATATAATTTACTTATATATAATAATTTTATTCTTACTTTTCTAAACAATTAATTAATTCTATTATTTTATATTCACAAGAATAATTCAATCAATAATCTAACAAATTTTTTTTATAAATTATATAATATTGCAATTCATACATTTTCTTCATGTTCTAATGTAATTTTAAAATAATTTATTAAGTACAAATTATATTAAAGTTAAAATAAAGAATATCTTTAATCTTTTAATATTTTTACATAAATTTTTAATAACCTCTCATATTTAATTTCTAATATATAAAATCATTGAAATATTTTAATTAAAAATATTCATCAATATTTATTTATAATTGATTTACTATTATTTTTTGAAATAAATTTCGCTATATTCGATATATGTAATTTATAACAAATTTCTTCATAATATAGTGATATTTGTCAATTTAATAGATAATATCAATCTATTAATTTCACTTTAAAGAAATATTTCATATGCACCAACCTAATATATAATCACTTTTTCATGTTTGAAGACCAATCATTTTGCCATGAAATTGAAATTTACAAAGCGTGAATGACAACCAATATTTTTAGCCTGTTCATTAGATCAGGCTTCGGATAAGATACGAATCTTGATTTAGGGCCAACATTAAGCGCGATCTGAACACCGTATAAAACGAAAACGATGTTGCGATGCTCATTGACTCTAGATTGTTCTCGGAGTGATTGCCTTTTTCTCGCAAGAAACGTCATTCATTGTCTTTTAAGGAAAACAGGAAACAAGATCTAACGAAGGAACGTGAATTTTACGTGATTTGCCTCCTGCGGCTTCAGCCGTTAAAAAAAAAAAAATAAGGACAGAGAGCCGATTCGAATCAATGGACAGTTTCCAATTTGTAAGCTTATATAATTAATTCGTGAATCACATTGGATCTTATTTGCTATATACGATCTCGTTGTTTCTTTGTAATTACTTGATTTATTATCGGTTTACACATAGATTGATTAAGATGGATATAGTCTTTGTGTTTCGATTAAAATTAAGAGTAACACCGATTTCATTTTCGTATCTGGGGTTAGTTCGTTGTTATACGGCGCAAGCGCTACAATAAAATACGTTACCTGCATTGAGTGTACTGTAAGCTGGATAAAATGGGTGCACGTTTAATACAGTGTCTATTCTACCGTTTTAGCGCGAGAAATACATTGATGTTAAATAGTGTAATAAAGAGTCAAAACAATCACAGTTATTTTTATCATAAACGACAGGTATGTCAATTAGAGGTCACGTGTAAAAAATTAAAATAATATCGTTTTTTAATATCATTAATCTCATTAATTCACTGATTGTGATTTTCCCTCCTCCATAATACGATTGACGCAGGTTCAGTCAAATCACGTGGCCTTGTGCATGGAGTAATCACAATCACATCTAGTTATCGACGTGCCCTCATCAAATAGAAATTCTCTTGTGCTAAAGAGCTCAGTATATCCTTAATGGTCACAAAATATAGTGCATGGTACAACACTGCTTTTTTCTTTTTTGTTTTTTTTTTTTTTTGCAAAAATCATTGTGAGTCTTGATATAAAGTTTCAAATTAAAAATGCAAATATAAAATATCGTCAAAATTTGTAACATAATCAAAATGGTTACAGCATTCCTATAGAGAGTTATGGACAATCGCAGCTAATTTGATCCCTTCTGCAGTAATGAAATGCTACGTCCAAAAGCAATCTAAATTCATTGATCCGATAATAGGGGTGAGTTAAATTTATTACATATTTGAAAACATGTTTTGTTATTTTTAATTTTCGCGGTTTTTTTTTTTATTTATCTTGTATAGACACTAGTCTGTATCCATCTTTTACCGATAATATTATTATCTTATCAATGAGGTAAGTAGTTACTCTTTTCCATATACTTGGGTGTGGTGCCACCTATCATAATATACAGAGGTCATCAACTAGTCACTCAGAATTTATATGATTACTTCAGAGCCTCGTGAACATCATCATGAACTTATATTCGTTTAAAATTTGAGTATGTTTTGGAATTTAATGACTTTAATAAAATGTGGTGTTCTACGAGTAATTACTAACCTAATTTGGGGACAGGTATGTAAAGTTTCTTTAATAAAATAAACGTAACGTACTTAATATTCTACAATAAAG